TAAAAAAATTCTTGATGAAATAAAAAATTAGTAGAAGGAGGACCAACGTCCTTGGCGCGGATCAGAAGATGGAGAATTAAATTGATACTAGACAATGAGTTGAAAAACTCCGCGCCAAGAACGTTGGTCCTCCTTCTACTAATTTTTTATTTCATCAAGAATTTTTTTAAAATCCTCATTCGATTTGAAACTATTTCTCTTATAGAAATCTGATTGTGCATTATTTTCGTTTATTCGACATTGCTGACTTGGCTTTCTTTTTCATTCCTTTGTATTTTTCAAAAATTTCTACTTTCCAGTAAGAACCAAACAAAACTTTTTCTTGGCGCAGTTTTTTTACAAAAACATGTGTTTTTGTTTTTTTAGGGAGATTTCATTATTTTTTTCAAAATAAACAAGGAATCGTTTTTATATCCTGTAAATTTTTTCATTTTCAATTCAATTCGGCTCATTTATTTTTCACACGATAAATCATCTTTCCAATTAACAATCGAAGTAAAACAAATAGTTCTATTCCACAGTCGTTATTTGCACCGACTTTTAATTATTTATTCAAGATTTTCCGACTGAATTTGCTTCTTCGAGAATTCATTTGTGCACGAAACTCGAATGAAAAATATCTGTGGAATTCATCATTCGTGCATCATATTCAATTTGTAAATTCCCGGGCTTCCCTCCTTGGTGCGTGTGGTTGTATTGCACTGCTACCAACTCCGTAACAAAAAAATGACAGGAGTTGATGAGAAATGCGAGAATGTGCATATGAACCCGTTGCTATGCGCGTATTTTTTAAAATATTGCTTCGAACAAAAAAATAGTTACATCAATGAGAAGCTTGTGGCCAATTTATATAATGTAACTAAGAGTATTTTTCATGTAACTCTTCACGTTTGTATTTTATTTAATGGATATGATTCGGAGGTAGTGGAGGGGGTAGTTGCTTCGTGTATAGATACACGGCAGCGATCGGCCTGATGTTTTGTACAATCGGAGTCAAAACTTTTCTTAGCCGATACGCTGCCGCGTATCTCGATGTGGACGAGATAAAGAATAATGCTGGGGTGTGTGCGAGCCCAAGCGGAATAATGAATTCATCGAATCGACAAAAATGTTGAATGCGGAAGTTAAAGATGCAAAAGCAATAAAAACGGGGGGAGCGGAAGAGAATTGATGCATTTTTATTTCCGAATGGAAGCAATGTAATCGTTCAAGTTTAAGTTTCGGATTTTTTGTGTTATATCGACCCATTATGGTCCAAAAAGTCCGAAAATTCCATTTGTAGACCGTGTCCGTACGTATGTGTGTGGTAAAGTTTTACTTTAATTGTTCGCTAACGAATGCATGGAATTGAATCTTTTTTTTCTTCAAATGTAGGTATTGTTGAGCCCTATCGATCGCCATTAGTGAAAATTTAATTCATCGATTAGTTTTTTTAAATTTTTTTTCGAAAATCGGTTGCCCCACGATAACTAAAAAGTAAATGTACTTAATTAATTGAATGATGGTTAAAAAAAATTGTTTGAATGTCCCTTTCACCGAGTTCGAAGATGAAGGCGATAGCAATAATCGTTAGTTTGATTTATTCGAAAATTTTCAAAAATTTCCTATTTCTTGAAAATCAGAATTCCAGGGATATCTTTGAATATCACGCTGCAAATGAATTCAATCATAGCTTAAAATGTTTGTTTCACTGCCATCAAGTCGAAGTTAACATATGATTACTATATTTTAATTAACCAATTACTAAATTGGTTAAATTGTTTTTTATGATGATTCTTGAAAATTTTGAATTTTTCATGAATTTCCCTGACACTGAGATTTCTAACGGTTTCTTCAAATGTGATGTGTCAAATTTATTGAAGTATGTGTAAATGAAATTTTTCTATTACCATTTTTAAAAAAGACAATCGGTTGTATAGAAGAAAAGAGATAAGCATAATGATGTTGATAACATTCAAATAAATTTGAAATCTCATAAAATTAGGTAAATGAAAATCTTATTCAGTTTAATAAAATGAAATAAACAATGAATTATACATGATAGAAGGAAATGATGTGCGAAATAACCGTTCGGAAGCATTTTACGAATTTATTACCAAAAATAACTATACTATATACAATACAAGAGCAATTTCTCACTTGTTTTTTGATCTTGAAAACGTTCGTATGATCTTGATGTTCATGAAATGATCGAGTTAAAATTTTAAGCTGTGCGTTTCATACTTGACAACTGAAAATAATTAACAAGCGAAGAAATCATTAATCGGCTAATTGAATGATGAGATCCCAGTGAATATTAAATCTTTCAATTGTTAAATTGAGGAAAAATGGGGAAAAATCATTGAGGGAATTTTTCAACTATGGAAAAGCTTTCCCGACACTAAAGATTCTCTATTTGAGTCAATTCGTCTTACATTTCAAATTGAATATTAATGCGAATTGAGAATAGCACCGCAAATTCACAACAAAAGGAAATAAGAATGTGAATAGAGCCGAGTCAGATAAAGGCCCAGTCTCAGATGGCCAATTGCCAAACAGATAAAGAATGTTCCATTGTCAGACATGAGCACTCAAGTGATTAGGATAACAACCATAGTTGAGATTCGATCTGTCAGACGAAATAAAAAATCAACGGGAATCATCTCAAAGAAACTAACAAAAGAGAGCAGAGTAAATGGAGAAAATGGGGTTCTGAAGAGATGGGATTGAAGTTGACTTGGCATCGAGGTAGGGAAAAAACCGCTTGATCTATTACGGTCTCGGACCTAGGCCAACGGCCAATAGTTGACCGATACTCTCCTCACTCTTTTCCCATTACATCCTACAATGTATTCCGTGTGAAACCAAAACTCAGCGGGAGCGCTCACCTCTGATATTGATCAACACCAACACATTCCACTGAGGAACTCGAAAAACCACTCAACCCAACATATTACATGTCGAGTCGGTAATCGTGGAATTATCCATTAATGAATAATTTCATGAAAATTCTTTTGATATCAGAAAAGGTTTTGGCATTTTTTTCTCCAACCCATCGTTTTCTCGAGATGAACGCAGCCACTATCTAACGGGAGCAAGATTGAAGGAAATCATCAGCGTACCTCCTGCGTGGATAGGAAAATTTCCTACAAACAAGATGGGGACGACGAGCAGAACTTTTACAAAATTTTCTATTAAAAAATGGGAATATCTCGAAAACTCAAGTTTGCCATTAAAAAACTGGAATATCTCGGAAACTTTGTATCAGCGGGTACATATGTTTATATTAATTTAGATAGAAATCACCGAACCGAACCGAATATTTTGAAAAAAAGTGAAATCGTTTGCGAAGTTTTAAAGATATTACGTATAAAAGATTTTCATCAACAAGCAGGGGACAGTGAGCATGTCACTGAGTGATGTCATTTTTTTGACTATCAATATATTGATGGCTGATAACTGATGTTATCATGGGATGAAGAATCTGTCCAAATTTCAAATTGATATCTCGATTTTTGCACACGCTAGAGTAATTGCCAAGTTTTTTTTTAGACAAAACGGAAAAATGGGAATATCTCGTAAACTTTGTACGGACAAGTGTATATTTTTTGGTTGATTAAGATAGAAGGCGAAACGAATATTTTGAAAGCAAAAAAATCTAAATCGATCGTCTAGTTTTGAAGATATTTGCGGAAAACGATTTAAAAACGCATCGCTTTTTCTTAAAAACTATTGAATCGATCGAGCCAAAACTTTGTACAAAGTTAATCTTCATTAAGACCTATTATCTGACGAAATTTCAGATTTTTTGAAACTACTTTAGCCACTTAATTACTCAATATTATTTTCACATTATTTTTACACTTCAGACCATTCTATATAATTTCCAATTAAAATCAGAGATTGTCAAAATTGGACGATTGCAATGCTCCCATTCGGAAGCAAAAAAAGTCTCTCGATATTGTCTTCTAACATCACTTATCTTCGACATGAACTCATAATCAGGGTTACCAGATTTTGGCTATTTATAGCCAAAACCTGTACAATTTTAAATGGAGTGACGTCACGATCAGGTAACACTGCTCATAATCAACGAAAATTAATTAAGTCAAATCTATTGTATCATTCCGCCATTCATTTACGTACGGATGTCCTTTTCATCAGTTTCAAACCGCAATCTGATGATGTCAACTCCATACACCCACCCAAGCACAACACACAGCATTCGCTACATTCACAATGTTCTCGATAATCCTTATTACAATTTGTAAATGCCGTTAAAAAAATCAACATCGCAGGCAATTTTTCACCATTAGAGCTATGGGAAACCCTCGATTTTCAGCATGTGCCGACCACTCACGTTCTAATGCGTAATTCTTGTTTTAAACAATAAAATATGATCACTGAACGTCAAGTAAACAATTTTCAATTAATTTTAGGGATCGGAATCATTTACTATTAATAATTAAATTGTTCAAATCGCCCTAGCACCCAAACTATGAAGAATAGACGAAAATGTTCAAATCATCAATCATTTAGAATTTAATAAGGAATAGTTTTTGTCTATTTTCAATTTTATGTATCTCTTGTAGATTCCGAGATATGAGCATTAAACTAGTTACGTGACCCGACATAGTGCTCTCTGCTTGCGAGGCGCGATGGAGAAGCGCTGTATTGAGTCACACAACTCTTTCCTTGCTTATATCTCGAAATCTAAGAAAGATATGGGAAATTGACAAAACTCAAAAATTATTCCTTATCCGAAGATTTTCGTACGGCTTTCATAGTTTGGGCGCTAGGGCGATTTGAACAATTGAATTGTTGTTAATAAATAGTTGCAATACCTAAAATTAATTGGAAATTGTTAACTTGACGTTCCGTGATCATATTTCATTGTTAAAAAAAGCATTACGCATTAGAAAGCGAGTGATCGGTCGGTCAATTTGGAAGCGCTTTTTTCGGGGTGTTCTGCAGCTTTACATCAGTGGTCAATGAATTATTACTCGAAAAATCCAACTCACCTGTTTGCCGGGTCTTGGTAATGTTTCCATATTGGTTCCGGCAACAACGGGTGCTTTTTCCGGTGCGCCGTTCTGTTGTCCAACCTTATCGGTGGCGCTAACATCGGTACCCTCGCCTCCACTACTCCCCTTACCGTCCTCAACCCCCGTCATCCTTGCGACCTTATTTTTTCCCACCCCCCTGGGAACACGTCACCGATCCCTCTGTCCCCCCCAGCCCGAGAAATTCTCTTCACTCCCTTTTTTTTCTTTATTTCCAACCCTCTTTTTCCACAACCCCTATGACTCTCCCTTTGCTCGCTCCTTCTTGTTTTAATTCCCACACACTTGACAATCCCACCCCAAAAGTCACTTATTTTATTTTATACTTCTCCAGTGCCGTTTCACCCACCACTTCATCCAATTCTCTCCATTTACTTCGTTGCCCTTCTCTGGATATTCCCTGGGGAGAAAAAGATAAATCTAGAATCGTAAATGGCCTCATTCCAACGAAAATCCTTCGGAGATTATGAGACCTTGTAGTTACGTTTATGGGATTATTCGTTATTTCATCATGATGAAAATAAACCAATAAAAAGGTGTCTAAATCTTTTCAAACAGTGGGAGACTAGATTTATCGGTGTTAAGGGGAAAACGGATATCCACAGGACAGATGCACCGAAATGCGCGCATACATTCAACTCCTCTTTACGATCCGCCATCCAATCATAAGATATTTCACTACTCCCAACAAAAGTCGATCACGGAATCGCCCCCCCCCCCGCCCTGGCTCATCTCACCCCAACACGTTCTACATGCATCTCACGTTTCCGATCGGAATATCCGAGGTATAGTAATAGGACGTGTAAAGCCCGAAATAAATTCACACACTGGTTTCATATGAAAAAGCGAACCGCGCCCGACTCGTAATCTGTTATTATTACTTACAATACACGGATGGTGGATTGAATTGAAACAATAGCTGAGATTAATGAGACAATTCTTCCAGTCGTGACGAATACAATTGTAGAATTGGTCGTTTGTTTCGAAATAATTAAAAGTAGCAGTGGAAGCGAGAGAAAACAGTCGAACCGGAATACCGGATCGAAGACAACAATCGCGCACCTCCGGATCGATTTTGGAGTCATTCTCCATAACCCCCCATTTACCTGTCCCATTCACCCGTTTGCCATGCATAAAATCGCCGAAATTGCGTTGAAAAAAAAAACTGCAGGATTGAATAGACCGAATGAACCGAATCATACATTATTTGTAACACCGCTTAGTTCATATAACGCTCCGTGAAACGAAGAGCCATGAAAACCCGGGTAATTCCGTTGTAGTAATAAAAAGGATGGAACAAACGGTTTAGCGCAAACATTTAACTTTCTCCACCTTTCGAAGATTCACATTTTTCTGGTTAATTTGCATCCACGATTCAGTCAATTTAATTAATGAATGAAATGGTTATTAACACTGAACATAAACTCACTCGCTGTCAAATGACAAATGTTTTTAGTAACATTTCACTCATTCCCGACTGCTTATCATTGCTTTACTCATTCTAATAATATTTCATTCGTTTTTAATTTAATCCCTTTGCAATAGCTCGATACGTCTTTTTCGTCGATTGTCAACGAGTGACTGCCCTCCCAGAGTCTTTTTCACCGCTATACGTTGCGCTGTAGTGTGCGCGGTCTGCCGCGCTGAGTTTGGTGAGCTGGGGAGAATGAAACAGATGGCGCTATGATGTTCGATTCCCGGATCTTGTTACTGTGAGTGCTGTGAGTACTGTGGGTGGGAGAGAGAGAAGAGCACGGACGTATAATGAGCAGGGCGGAGATGGCAGAGGACTGGAAGCAAGGTTTGTCTTTGTTTTTTGGGGGAGAGGAAGGAAGAGGGCACGATGCAGCGGCGAAGTTTCATTTTTGGGTTTATGACGTTGTAGGCGATGGTTAGAGGTTTCATAGAAAGGAAACTCCAACGGTGTAATGAAGAATGTTGAGCTGGTCGGAACGAGAAAAATTCGATGGCAGTGCTTGGTATTTCTTGAAGTAATAATGTATTTTTTACTAGTCAATTTTCCGTCAATTGACGGTCGGGAAATTGTCAACTTTCAGTTATTTATGTGCGAAAAAAATCTGTGGGTGGCTGTATCTTTGATACAGCTGTAATTTTACGTGGGTAGGCCCTATGGTCTTCCGTTTCCTTATTCACTGAACATTGTTTTTCGGTATATTACCGACCAGCGATAAGGATCCTTCACAATTGTAATTTATTTCTAAAAAAATTGGAGATTTTTCTCGAATTTTATTAAAAAAAATCCATAATTTTTATAAAAAATTTAGAATTTTCTAGAAAATTCGAATTAATTCTACATAAATAGTTAGTCCAATGGAATCAGTGAAAACTACTTTTCCGTACTGACCTTCACTTTTCCTCGTCCGGGGATTGGTATTGGCCCTGCCCCAAACTCGTAAAAGTGAAAATCACTACGGAAAAATATCGTTCATGAGTGATCTGCATTAATTTCATTTCCATTAAAATTTCCGAATTTCTATAAGTAATGACACTTTTTTGTAATTCTCTGATTAAAAAAATCTAAAACGTCAAATATCTATCCTGTCCCCAGCAGAAATGATTCGCCGAAATAATATAGAATCTCGTTTTTCGACCAATCACAGTTTTGGATTGTGAATACTGGGCTGAGATTGGTTGTGAAATAATAGATCTCATCCTCCTAAAGAAATTTCCAAAATCTTTCCCCCAGAAGCTACTATTATATTAATATTATTCTCTAGCCACTAAAGCAACTCTAACTATCCCAGGTTAATTAATTATATATATATACAACCGTTCTTATTTTACGGCGGTTTTAGCAATTTCGTGGGTAATGAGAAGTCGTTGGAGGGGGGTTTCCGGGTAGCTTTAAGCCAATCGCATTGAGCGACCAGATTGCGAACTGGACTTCCCCGATGTTCGTCGCACCATTCTAGCGTCAGACGCCGCAGCAGTTACATCTCGACTCCGAGCTAAGGAACACTAAATTTTCCAAAAAAGAATCAAATCATCTGCGATCAAAATGGATACATTTCAGTAAGTTTGGTTCATTACGATAATTAAAGCGCAGGTATCCATAATAATTCCAGTCAGTATTCGAAGGGTGCCACAGGGGTCTGGTTTGGGATAAATCATCCTTTGTAAGTATCAGTGAATAAACTCAACCAATAGAACAATGAATCATTGAATTTTCGTGTCTACTGAGGATGTAATGGACTCTCCCTGTTTCATCGGTTCCGAGATTCTGAATTCCTGGAATTCAAGATGGAGATAGTCTCTATTCTACCACTGACTTCTTGGAACTGGGCTATAATGGACTCTCCCGGTTTTGTCGGTTCTGGGGAGCGATTTTGCTCGTTTTGTGTCGACATAAAATCATAAATTTCAACCAATCCTAGTTGAGTATTCCGAATCCAGGATTGTGATTGGTTGAAATTTACGATTTTATGTCGACATAAAACAAACAAAATCGCTCACCTGAGATTCTGAATTCGTGGAATTCAAAATGGAGTCATTTTTTTGTTGTACCACTGATTTCTTAGAACTCGTCTTCCACCTCGTCTCTGCCGATTAGCTCGAAAATGGAGATAGGAAGAGTTCGCGCAGTGAGATATTTTTTGACGTGGACACATCTTTAACGACGCTCAGGAGAGAAGAGGATATTCGAAAAATGCAGTCAATTTCATGAAATTTTTTTGACATATTGTTTAATCCATTTAATCCATTTTTGCACCCCTTGCAAAATTTCTGAAACCCCAGGTTCATGGCAACAACAAGGATGAATTCTAAACTTGCTACCTATATATGAGGTTAAAGGGAGCATCGATAACTCGTGCGTTTTCCTTACATTATCGACCAGTCGGCAATGTGAAAAAAATACTGAAATTATCCATGTCCTAATGGGACCGCTAGTTACCGATGGCGGCGCTCGTTTTCACCAATATGGACGATTTTAGGCTTCTCATATACACGCTAACACAAGCCAAAATTGGGTTGTGTACTGTCTGTGTGCAGCCCAATATCCGCCATTCATAGGTGCCGTTTTGATATTTAGCGTTTCCAAAACCTGGGGTTTTTGAAATTTTGCAAGGGATGCCTAAATGGTTTAAATAATATTTTGAAAAAAGTTTCATAAAATTGCCTGCATTTTACGAAGATTCTGTTCCTTGTTTAAACATCGTTAAGAGGATATCCAAGTATTTTTATCCGTTTGGTGCAGAATACACTATAGATTCAATCATCAAATTTGTCAATAAAATTGCATGAGAAAAATTTGAAAAAATTATGAATATTCAACGTCATTTAAATTAATTTTTGCGCTAATTTACAATCTTTTAAAAAATTCATTGGTTATAAATAAATAATTGAACTTGCTTAAACTTTCGGAAACCTAATGTTTTTAGGCATGAAAGGAATTTCTGGTGAAATTCTGAATATTAATAAATTTGCGATTCCAAACAAATTATTTTTATAGCGGGAAATTGATTGTTTATAAATTATTTATAGAAAATGCTCTTAATTTTCAAAAATTTAAATTTTTCAATTATTTCATCAATCTTCCTCTAAAAGTAAACTTTCTAATTTTTTTCAGATTTTTAAAATGTTTTCTAACGATTCAATATCGAGATTCGAATTCAGACCTGTAAAGTTTAAATAGTAGAATCATTGTAAAATGTCCAGAAACGCAGGGCTAAATGGAGCTCAAATGAAAGCTCAGATGTTTGACTACAAAAGCAGAAAAGCATTTCACGGAAGAAAAAATAGTTAAAGTACTTGGAAATCCTTAAGGATTTAATTGACAAATTGGATGATTCAAAATGTTCAATCATCAAATTTGTCAATTAAATTGCGTGGGAAAAATAGGACAAAATCATGAATAAATTCGAATTCTATTTTGATTTTTTTTTCACGTGTCACTCACATTTTGCGCAGAATTATTACTTTTTAAAACATTCGTTGTTTATAAATAAATAATTGAAATTGTTCAAACTTTCGGAAACCTTATTTTTTGAGGCATGGAATCGATTTCTGGTGAAATTCTGAATATTAATAAATTTGTTACGTTTCCGAACAAATGATTTTTATGGTGGAGAATTGATTGTTTATAAATTATTCGTAGAAAATGCGCGTAATTTTGAAGAATTGCAGTTTTTCAATTATTTCATCAATCTTCGTCTAAAAGTAAGCTATCGATTTTTTTTAGATTTTTAAAACGTTTTCTAACGGTTCAATACCGAGATTCAAATTCAGACCTGTAAAGTTTAAATAATAAAATCATTGCAAAATTCCTAAAACTTAGGGCCAAATGGTGTTCAGATGAAAGTTCTGATATTCAACTACAAAAGTAGAAAAGTGTTTCATTGGCGAGAAATTTTCCAAAGTACTTTCATATTCTTAATTTCATGTTTCATTTCATACGCGGAGTTACCCCTATCGGCCAAACGCCACCTGTTGAAATTCTAGATTTAAAAAAAAAATCAGAAAATTCCCTGATTTTTTATAAAATATGAGAAAATTCTCCGGTCTTATAGTATATTGTGCACCAAGGGCGGAAAGTCATGTTTTCCCGCCCGAGGTGCACATGCTATTTTTTAAGACGCCTGCAAAGAAAAGTTTGTATTTTGCTTTCTAATGATCGGGAGGAAAGTAAATACTTTCCGCTCAGGGTGGAAAATACTCACTCTGCTCTCCCTTATCAGGAAGCAAAGTACGAACTTTCCATGCAGGGGTATGAAAAAAATTTTTAAGAAAATTTGCCGGTTTTACAGAAAATTTGCGAAAATTCTCGGATTTTCTAGAACATTGGCACATTTTCTGAAAAAAATCAACTTAATTCCAGGATACGGACACGTCGACGCGCCCGCACATGAAAAACAACCTAGACGTATAGTCGTGCGCGTTATCAGTCTCACTACTGTATAACGGATACAGCTGCTTAAGGTTCTAATTAAATTGATCGTTTATCTGTGCAGGAATGAAGGCAAATTGTATAGTGCAGGTTACAATGTTGATCACAATGATTTTGAGAGGATGGCAGTCCAGAGGGCAATCGACATCGTCTCAAACTATGGACGCCGAGCATTAATATATACTGATTCTCAGTATGTATTGGAGCACATGAGCGAGCTGAAGTCTGGTCATGGAGCCATTCTAGTAAGTGAACATTCTCTCATCATCTCTAAAATTCAGGGGGTCACGAATTATTTCTCACAATTGGATGATTTTTTTTTCTTATAGCAACGTGTTGATGGCCACACTCGCGGGATCCAAGAAGCCCACAAACTGGCGAACTCTGTGATGTGAACAGAGGACCAACACAGCGTTTCCATCGGAATATAACAATTGTTCATTCATCTTAAGATCAGAAAAAATATTGGAACTACTGCATCGTGAAATCAGATCTTTATTCTGAGGAACGAAAAAAAGTTAATAATTAAGCTTTTCAAAAATCAACATTCCAGTTTAACAAGATTTCCATTTTATATTTTCAAATATTCTTGAAGGTTCTGAGATTTTTTGTAATGTTCTTTTGCTTGAAATATGTAACAACTTTGGATGCGTTGTGCAAATAAACAAGGAAAATTTTTGTAATTTCTGGTTTTTAATGTTTTTTTGTATTCTTCACAAAACTATATCAATAATTACGTATCTATCCCAAGAATTTACGGAATACCAAAACTAAAGAACTATGAAAAAATTAGAATAAAAAATGGACTTTTTTCTCGTAATTGCATCAGGAAAAATCCTTGAGTTTTTCTGTATTCTCCGAATCATTACTTTTTCATTCCTCAATATTTTTTGAATATTTTCCACAAAAAAAATTAAAATTTTTCTGGACAGAAATTGGAGTAGTCGATATTCAAATCAGATTTAACTCATCAGTAGGCGCGCTCTTTTTAGTATCTCACTTGCACTGTGGAGACGTCCTATAGGTTGACTAGCGTTGTTTGAGGGAAATGCTCATAGCGCGCTTACTGACGGGTTAAGACGCTCTCGCGTCCACACTGAAAATTTCTAGTGTTTAGTCCGTGAAGAATAATATTCACTTTTTTTTTGTAAATCACTGATTTTAGAATTTTGTCCGTAAATTTACTGATCGTAAAAATGACCGTCAATTTTCCGACAACATGCAGGAGACGGCAACCAACCAAAATATCGAGAGCTCCGAGCATTTCTCGCTATACCAATCACATCGCTCAACGTGGTGACCTCCTCTACACAACACTGCATACTCCTCTGCCCCCGCCTACATATATATACACTGCGTTGTATTGTAGTATATATAGTAGTGATGAATATAAAAATGGCAAATCCGAAGACAGTAACGTATGCGTTAAATAGCCTTGAAGGTTACCATTGGAACAGCTGATTCAGTGCCATTTCACATACGAATAAGTAAAATTTAAAGTTTATTAAAAATATAATCGAATGATTATCAGAGTTCCATGATCAGTGATAGTCTGACCCTGATCAGCGATGACAGGGTGCCTAGAGTATACGTAAACACAACGTTAAAAAATATCCACGTATGTGTTAACCTTCAATGATAAGGTGACTGAAGATTAAATTACCAAAATCGAAGGAGTTTTCAATAATAAATATCATTAATGTGTATATACTCTTAACGTAAATGTGATATTAATTAAACTGTGAAGATGGAAATAAGACCTGGAGTATTAATTTTACTGGGGCTGACGTTGTTCACTTTGGTGAGGGCAGATGTTGTGAAGGATAATGATAAGCAGAGTACGACGAAGCAGAGTGTAAAAACGACGACAATCGAGGAGGATGATGATGACGATGTTGTCGAGGATTTGACCAATGTTTTTGAGCAGTTGCGGGAGCTGAAGGCACTCAGGGACTCAATGTTAAAGCTTGTGCCGGCTGCTGATCCTTTTTCTGATGATAAGATCACGAAACAACCGAAGGAATCGACGACTAGCGATGAGGACGGCTCACAGGAGAAAGATAATTCGTTCAACTCCAATAAAAATGCAGCTTGGAGGGAAATGCTCAAGGCTGCGAAGGACATTGGGCTAGAGCCTGTTCCAGAATTTTCGAATTCTGAGTCCCCACTTTCCAGTTGGGAAGAGGAGTATGAGGAAGACTACAGTGAGCATGAAGAGGAGCCACAGGAACCACTGACTCCGGAGCAGCAAGAAGGTTTGTCCATTTTCCAAAAATTCAATTCTTTCATGTTCGAGAGTAATTCTAATTATTTAAACTAATGTTCCCTACATATGGAACCAACATTGCTGATGATGAAGGAGAATTAGTTGCAGTTGCTTTGACAAAGTGAAATGATTTCATCTTCTACTTTTATGGGATTTATTTTGAAATTGGTATAGATAGTTCATCTGCTGGAAGACTTAAAAAAAAAAATAATAGAGGACAATGGAAAAAAATATACTGAATCCAATGGTCGAGAAAAAACCTAGAAAACCCAGGCAAACAATGCTGATATTTGAAACTTTGAGCCCCGTATAATTTCCTACTAAAATACTAACATTTACATGGAATGCGTTTTATTTCGGTCTCAGTACTCAATTCAAGTTTGCTGAATTAAATTTTTTATTAACGCAGGGGGGCTACGACCACCTGCTCGCTCCGCTCTTGTTTAGGCCTTTATTCTGACCTTTGTGATCCTTAATCTGACCTTGGTGACCCTTAATCTGACCCATATGACCTGTAATCAGAACCTTATGGCCCTATTTTGACCCTCATAAACCTTAGTTCAAACCTCGTGGCCTTTATTTTTACCCTTGTGACCGTTAATTTTGGAGTCTGAATTTTGAGTATCAAATTTTCATCACCAGAAGTCAATTTGGATTTTTATAATATAGAGAGATGAAGAAGGTATATCTTCTTTGTGTTAATAAATCTATAAATCTTCAGGTTAATGCTGTGATTTTAAATAAACATCCTCAAGGGTTTCGAAAGGATGAGGAAAATTGATTTTATGTATAATTTACTTGCCAAGTTAGTGCAATTATCTTCTGAACATTTATTATAAATATCAGAGAACTAGGAAACACTCTAAGAATTAAACTGTCTTCGGATTCTGAGATTTGAAATCCAAAAAATTTGAACTTGAAATGAAATAAATTTATATTGTTTTATGTAATTTACTTGGTGATTGAAGTTACGAAGGTTTTGGATAAAGATTTCAGGTTTATAATTTTTTTTCTTTCAGCTGAAGAGTTGTTTAAAAAGGCCCAGAGTATGCTGAATGCTACGAGGAGTAATAAAGCAGAGGCTTATAAATTGATAACAGCAGCTGCAACTCTGGGGCATAGGGAGGCTAGATCGATGCTGGCATGGGCTCAGTTACTCGGGACTCAAACTGGACTCCCATCGGCGAATCAGGATATTCCTGCTGCTTTTCAGACGTTCAAAGAGCTCGTCGAGACGGGTCTCCCTTCAGCACACATGGTAGTTTTTGGTCATTAATACAGGTTTCGGGCTTTCAATGTAATGAATAAGATTCTCTTCATGGATTCCTATTGCAAATTGCTAAACTTGTCCAGTAATGAATGATTTTAGAGAAAACTATCGAGAGGTATTTCCTGCAATTCACGATTTTTTTTCTGTTTTTTCATAGAAAAATTTCAAGTTTCGAAAATCAAGAGACTGATTTGCAGAAAACGCTATTTCTAGAAAGCATTTTATGAAGAATAAGAGACTGGTTACTCAATTTCCGAATGAAAATTTCTCAAATTCAGTACCAATACCTACTGAGGTTCTTCAACCCATTAAATTTTTCACGGACGAATTTGTACTGCTAAGTTAAGAAAATGCGGAAGGGTGAAAATTCGGGAATAACTAAACATTAATTGCATCAATGAATCATGTGGAATACTTTTCATATGAATACTTTTCAAACGTTATCTCGATTGTTTTTCCATCTTCATAATGTAAAATATATCACAATTTCCATTGGACTTTACATCATGCAAGAGTCCCGAAAAATTATGATTGTACAATCAAAGAAAGTATCAAAAAACTGAACATTTTCAAAGAGCGTTTTTAATAAAGATTAAGAAATAAGTCCGATAGAGAGGAAATAGTGAATGGATCATATATCATGGTAACTAACGATCTAACAGCCATTGACTGCTGTGACAAATGACGACCTAACAGCTATTAGATACATCAAATTATTAATTTGCAATTTTCTCCCTATTGGGTTTATTTCCCAATATTATTCAAAAACGGTCTTTGAAAATTGTTAGCTTTTTTTAACTTTCTTTGAATGTACAATCATAATTTTTGGATACTCCAGGGCTGTGTAAAACTGAATATCAATTGAGGATCATTGTGGATTATCAAAATGAAAAAAAACAACCAAGATCACGTTCGAAAGATAATCCACCCGGGCTTTAAGTGAAAATTACAATTAATTAGGGATTTTGTATCCGATGTTTCGGGAAAAAATTCTTAAAATAAGCAAGAACGTTACTTATCATCAAGAATTTTTTCTAAAATGCAGAGATTTTCACTAAAAACAGGAGTTTTCTTCTTTCTCTGAGAATTGTTGGAAATTTTCTAATAAAATCATACGTTTCTGAGAATAATTATATAGCCAGCAAACAAACTAATTCCTCAATTTTTCCCCATTCAAACTAGGGAATGGGTTTCTTCTATGCGATGGGTCTCAATATGGTGAACGTATCCCAAGGAAAAGCATTCCTGCATTACACCATAGCAGCACTCGGTGGTGACACACGAGCCCAAATGGCCGTGGGCTATCGACACTGGGCTGGAATTTCCACGGCATCAACTTGTGAAAGAGCTCTCGACTTTTATCGTAAAGTAGCTAATAAAGTTGCTGAGCAAGTGTCCCTCAGTGGGGGTCCAGTTGTTCAACGAATTCGACTGTTGGAGGAGCAAGAGAATCCAGAGTATAACTCAGGCATCTTGGATGACGATTTGATTGAATATTATCAGTTATTAGCGGAGCGTGGGGATGTACAGGCACAAGTGGGATTGGGGCAGCTTCATTATCAAGGGGGCAGAGGAGTTCCTTTGGATCATCAGAGAGCTTTAGATTATTTCCAACATGCCGCTGATGCTGGGAATCCTATCGCCATGGCTTTTCTTGGGAAGGTTTGTTCGTTTTTTTTTTCGCTCTACAGAAAGAATCTTGCACGATCTCTGAAAATAGTAAGTTTCCAGAAAAATTTCAACACATTTTCATTGCAGACTAGGGGGCTACGTTCCCATGCTCGTTTCGCTCGCCAATCCCCATATGACCCACACATGATCCCCATATCCTTATTCTGACCCTTGCGACCCTTAGTTTCTGACCCACTTTAATCAGACCCTTGTAATCATTAATCTTCTGACCCGTAATCTGATTTGTGACCCTTATTTGGCCCATTATTTTGACCCTCATGATCCTCATTCCAACTCTCATGACTCTTATTCTGACCCTCATGCCCTTTATTTCAACTCTCGTCATCCCTGTTTTGACTCTCATGATCCTTATTCTGACAAGCGTAAACCTTATTCTGACCTTCATGACCCTTATTCTGAACCCCATGACCCTTATTCTAACCCTCGCGATCCTTATTTTGAACCTCATGACCCTTATTCTAACCCTCGAGACCCTTATTTTGTCCTTCGTGATCCTTGTTCTGACCCTCATGACCTTTATTCTGACCCTCTTGATCCTTATTTTGACCCTTATGATCCTTATTCTGACCCTCATGACCCTTATTCTGACTCACGTAACCTTTATTCTGACCATTATTTGGACCCTTGTGACCCTTAATTTTGGAGTCTTAATTTCGAGTACCAAATTTTCATCACCAGAAGTCGATTTGGATTTTTATAATATAGAGAGATACAGAAATTTTCCACGAATAAGATCTTTAGACTCTAAAATCATTGAAACTCAATCTGAAAATCACTGCATCATCAACGAAACATTTAACCCTCCCACAGGAAATGAAAGATCCCTCTTTACTTTCTTCTGCTTCTTATTTCATTGCAGATTTACCTCGAAGGAAGTGACATCGTTCAGCAAGACAATGAAACCGCCTACAAATATTTTGCAAAAGCAGCGATGTTGGGAAATCCAGTGGGACAGAGTGGCTTAGGTCTGATGTATTTATATGGTAGAGGGGTTGAACGTGACACAACGAAAGCACTTCAGTACTTCTCTCAGGCAGCTGATCAAGGCTGGGTGGATGGTCAACTGCAATTAGGCAACATGTACCTCAGTAAGTTTCTCAAATAAATTAATACTTGCTTGTTGGAATAATGGATTCATCTCGCTTACACTGAGAAAAAAAAATTTCGTCTAAAATTCATTTACTTGAGAGAAACATTCATTTTTTCACAATCGTATTTCTGCAATCGGGTCATTTGTCGGCGAGCCTGGTTAGGTTTCAATTATGACAATCATGTTGCTCTAGAGGATGACTATGTTGCACATGACCTTCGATTAGCTCGAATGATTGTTCATTTTTCCTAAGTTTCTTACTTCCTAGAGGAAAGAATTTCCATTAATTTTTCAATGTTGATAATTATTGAGGGAGTTCACTCAAGGTCATAATTGACATGATCGTCTTCTAGAGCAATATAATTGTCATAATTGAAACCCAGTGAGGATTGCCTGGGAATGACTCGACTGAGTAAATACAGTATGAAAAAAATAAATACTTCTCTCAAGTAAACGGATATTTGGGAAAAATATTTTTTTTTCTCAGTGTATGGATGATTTTGGAACAAGTCGAAACAACACTTTTTTTTCGCAGTAATAGGATTTTCTCTTAAGGATATCCAAGCATCTTTTACAATTTGGTACAGACTACTCTATAGATCCAACCATTTCCAATCATCAAATTTATCAATTAAATTGCGTCAGAAAAATTTGAAAAAAATCATAAAAATTGAGCGTCATTCAAATTACATATTGTACAGGATTATCATTTTTTTAAACATTTGTTGTTTATAAATAAATTATGGAAATTGTTTTAAATTCTGAATATGAATAAATTTGTTACGATTCCGAACAACTGATTTTTCAGTAAACATGCACTTCGCCAACCTCTATCGATATGGGTTTTTTGGGGTTCACATCAACCGCGTCCCCGTCGCGAATCCTGGGTCATGCTAAGTGCTGGTAGGGCTAGATTAATTCGCCTTACCATGTACATTGAATTTAATTTGAATGCCTTAATAAAAATTTAATATTCATATTAACATGCCTTTAGAGAGAAAGGTGCCGTTTGGGGACACCCGTTGATCTATGTGAGCATGCATTCTATAATATGAGATGACTCAAAGAGGTTTAAATTCATTAATAGCAACCTAGGTTTTCACGTGAGAGTGATGATGTGTACCTTTACCGATTTTTCTGCTGGGAAATTGACCGTTTATAAATTATTTATAGAAAATGCTCGTAATTTCAAAAAATAGCAATTTTTTAATTGTTTCTTTAATCTTGCTCCAAAAGCAAACTTTCTAATTTTTTTCAGATTTTTAAATTTGTGTTCTAACGGTTCAATATCGAGATTTAAATTCAGAGCTGCATAGTGTAAAAATAATAAAATCATTGTAAAATGTCCTGAAACTCAAATGAAAGCTTGGATGTTCGACTACAAAAGTAGAAAACCATTTCATTGGAGAAAAAATAGCTAAAGTACTTGAATATCCTTAATGTTTGTCTTGAAACTACTCCCTTGATTTTACCATTTACTACTACTAGATAGTTGGCCATTTCAGAATTGAAAAAAGCACCAGAAGAGCTCTTTCATATGCGATCTTTATCTCTACCAACGAAATCTCGTGAAATTCCTTTAAAACAACTTATTCTCTCGATACATACATATAATTTCCCCCAATTTTTGAACGACCAATTATTTCCAATGTTATTATTTTTTATCTGCAAATAGGTGGTACAGGTGTTCGTCGTGACTACAAGATGGCAAATAAATACTTCAATCTAGCCAGTCAATCAGGCCACGTTCTTGCTTTTTACAATTTGGCTCAGATGCACGCAACAGGCACAGGGATGATGCGGAGTTGCCCAACAGCAGTGGAGTTGTTGAAAAATGTTGCTGAGCGAGGAAAATGGAGTGACCAATTGATGACAGCGCACACAGACTACAAGGAGGGTAGAATCGATCAAGCCTTTATTCGTTACTCCCTGTTAGCAGAAATGGGATACGAGGTAGCTCAGAGTAACGCAGCTTTCATCCTGGACCGCGGAGAGACAGGAGTATTGACACCTGAGGAGGGATTAGTGATGGCTCTGGCCTTCTGGGCACGTGCAGCTGTCCAAGGATACTCTCCAGCCCAAGTCAAGCTTGGAGACGCTCATTATTATGGTCGAGGGACTCGAGTTGATTACGAAGCTGCTGCTGGATACTACAGACTCGCCTCTGATCAGCAACACAATGCCCAAGCAATGTTCAATCTGGGGTACATGCATGAAAGAGGACTGGGTTTGGCTCGTGATCGACATTTAGCCAAACGATGCTATGATCTAGCCGCTGAAGCTAGTCCTGATGCTCGCATACCTGTTGCCCTAGCACTTGTAAAATTATTTCTACTCTTTGGCATTGACTATCTGCAAGAGTTTAGCTTCTCTGAGCAATTTAGCAAATGGGATCAACTCTTTGGTCCCAATTGGGATCTCTATCTCATTGGACTCTTCACAGGTTTAGTCAGTCTCATAATTTACTTTCGCAGACCACAGCCACCGCCTGGTGGGGTTAATGCCCCTGTTAACTAGTTGACTACTGAGTTGATTTCTTTCTTGTGTATTTATTAAGCTGTAGTCAAGTGGTGAAACGAGATGGGTTGAGTTTATTTCAGGACAGATGAATTTTTCATGTGAATAGCTTTGAATTATGGATGATAGGAGAGTTCCCAGGAAGACCTTTTTCCCCTTTGGATTGCGAAATTGTCGCTGAAAAATGATGGAGTGATTCTGCCGCATCTCATTTCAACAATTTGCTACTGAAAAAATTCTGGTTCTAAGCTCAGAGTTTATTAAATATTTGTGTAAAAATTTTATTGTGTTTCATTCTCAGTAATCACGAGTTCCGCGTACTATTGGTCATTGCATTCTGAAAGTCTGTGTCAGTGAATATTTGAATTGTATGTTTTTTTTTCTTAGTTGGGTTCATTGTGTTTGAATGAGAAGGTATTCAATAGATGCTGAGCTCAGATCCGTTAAGATTTGATGTCAAAACAGAACAGTTGATTGTTTTGTCTACGGAAAAAAAACATGAACGTAGTAATCAGTTTTGATGTTTGCTGAGTGAGCAAAATATATTGTCAAGAACCAAATACTTGTTAATGACTGAAGTTTGTATTATGAAGATATAGGGAAGCAGAAATCTAAGAAAATATGATTAAATAAATAAGTTCTTATAAAATTTGTGAATAAAAACTTTATTTATGTCATTGATGTTTAATTGTCAGTTTTTTCAGAATATCTCCGCGAATTTTCGAGAAACTGTTGTTGATTTTTTTCTCATTATCTGTGACAATGATAACGTTGACGTCATTATCGTGGGCGAAGAAAATTAGGGTATTTAGGGATTCTTCAAATTTTTCCATAGAATCTGCTGCTTGTGAGTCGATTTATCTTCATCGGGCAGACTTTGACACCGATAAGTCACCGACAAGCATTTCTCAACATAATGACTTATTACACGCAACAGATTCTCCCCTTTTTTTGATACATTCGATGTTTTGCGTTGAGAAATTGTAGTCGTCACATTCTGATTACACGATATACATACTGAGCACGTGAAATTCAAGGAAAGCAAGTAGGAAACTGCTTTTGTCTTCATATAGCATAGCTATTTTTGCTAATAAATCAGAAATATGCTTCCGAAGTATCAGTTTATATTATTCTGTTCAATTGAATTATATTAGTTCTTTAATCAATTGTATTAGATTTCTTATATAAATCACAGGAAAGAATGATGCTATCTATATTATTTTGATACTTCGAGAAAATGACATCAGAAAAACTTTTTCCATGCATAATTGAATGAAATTAAAACATCACATTTAAAGAAACCGTCGAAAAATTTATTTTCAGGGAAATTTTGACATAATGTCAAGCCAACGGATGTAGCTATCGTGATGATCTTCTAACTCCGTCAGGGGGGGCACTGAAAGAAATATTTCAAGTTGTGATTCAATTAATTTAAGGCCCGGGTGGATTGTCTTTCGAACGTGATCTTTATTGGTTTTTTTTATTTTGATAATCTGAAATGATCTCCAATTGCTATTCCGTTTTACATAGCTCTGGACTCTCCGAAAAGTATGATTGTACAATAAAAAAAAACGTTGAAGAAAAGCTGGACATTTTCAAAGAGCGTTTTTGAATAATATTGGAAAGAAACCCAATAGGAAGGAAATTGCAAATTAATAATTTGATGTATCTAATGGCTGTTAGGTCGTCATTTGTCATACTAGTCAATGGCTGTCAGATCGTTAGTTGCCATCATAAATTATCCATTCACTATTTCCTCTCTATCGGACTTATTTCTCAATCTTTATTAAAAATACTCTTTGAAAATATTCAGTTTCTTTTCTACTTTTTTTAATTGTATAATCATAATTTTTAGGGACTCCTGTGTGATGTAAAATCCAATGGATATTGTGATATATTTTAGATTATGAAGATGAAAAAACAATCGAGATAACTATCGAAAGATAATACACCCGGGCCTTAACACGTATGAAAAAATCGTATAGAAATTTTCTATACGGATTGCGTATAGAAATTCTATAGGATTTCCGTATATGATATACGGATATTTCTATACGAATTATTTGTATACATAAATTTTTATTTTCACACGAAAGATGTCTAAATGCTCCAGAGAAATGTCGCAACTCCACACGAAATGTTTCTATACATGTGGCAGTGGGTCGTATAGGATCTAATCTATAGAAATCGTATAGAAATATCCGAATATCATATACGGAAATCCTATAGAAATTCTATGCGCAATCCGTATAGAAAATTTCTATACGATTTTTTCATACGTGTTAAGGCATGATATTCAAAAATATCTCCGCAAGTCTCATTTTTAAAAAATACTTAATTTTTGAAAATTATTATACAAATCAAAACACCGATTATTATTATCGCCTTCATCTTCAAACTTGGTCAAAGAATATCAAAACAGTTTTTTGAAGCTGGCATTCAATGAATTCTGAACTTTTTTGCGCATTATTGCAGGACGATCGATTTTTGAAAAATTCCGAAAATTCTAAAAATTTAATATAGGATAAGTAAAAATTTAATTTTTTAGAATTATTATTTTAAATTTTAATTAATGTCGTTAAATAAGGCTCAACACTACCTGCATTTAGAAAAAAAATGAATAAACTCTATCAATTGATTAGCGAATAATTAAAAGAACATACATGATGGATTCTTCCTCAATTCGGCCACCTATTTTTTTCAAGTTCGTTGCTTTTTGTTTGTAAACAAAAGGTTACAGTACATAAAAACATGCCTAGATATCATATTACATTACTTGATAAGGCCTGGTTGCACCATCGTCTGTTAACTAAACTGCCAGATAACGGTCTGTTAGTCCATAAGGATTACACATGGATAAATTTATCCTGGGGTAAAAATAGCTAACAGGGCTCAGTGCAACCGGGCCTAAGCGGAATAGATGCTTTAAAAATCCTTACACTGAATTTTTTTAGTGGATTCCTGGTCCTTTACTGAATCACCGAATGAAATCACTATGGTTACCATAAACATCGCGAATCCATGGTGTAGAGTAAACAGCGATAGCACATGATAACATTTAATCGAAATTATGTGAAGTGACAGATTGAATCATGGGGAAGAAGAAGAAGAAGAAGGGAGGAGATAAAGAGAAAAAAGCTAAGAAGAAGCCTGCAGCTAATGAGAGGGACATCGTTTTCTATGAGCAACAGATCCTCGATAATAATCGACAATTAGCTAGGTACAGTGATCATTCATAATGGAAAAAGAATTTCGAGACTACTTCAGCTATTAATTGAGTATTTTTCAGACTCAAGACGCGTAATGAGTTTCTCGAGGGAGAATTAGACTCCCTGAAAGCCCAATTGACTCGTCTAGAGGACGACAGGTCCGATGTTGTTGCTCACTTGAAGAGGATTCTCCAACAGAAAACCGAGGAAGCGAAGGAACTCGGAGAGAGACTACTGGCCATGGAAGAACTTCGTAAAGACGAGAAACTTGCGTACAAAACTAAGGAAGAATCGATGTTGCAGGAGTATCATAATATGGAGACGAATCTCAATGCAGAAGTGAAATTAGTTTGTAAGAATATATCAATTCGTTTTAGTGTAAACAACTGGGTGGAGGAGTGGTAAAACGAGTTAGATCGAGTATAGAATTTCCACCAATGAAATGATTACTCTCAAGATGAAACGTCGAAAGATGTAAAGAGGTGGGAAAATTCTTTACGCGACATGTCTCTCAGTAATCCGACTGTTGAGATGAGTTGACAATTATTAATTGCGATGGGTGACATTGACTCAAATCGTTTTGCCATTTCTCAACTGAATTATTCTTCTCGAAGAAACTTTCTCTTTCATTGTATTCATAAGCTTAGCTGGAAAATTGAACGCACTCGAGGACTGGAGAAATGCAAGAGCCGAGTTGACACGAAAATTCGAAATCCAGGAGGAGCAAATGGCAGAGCAGGAGCAGAGGCATCGTGAGGCGTTATATGAAGCTGAGAAATCATTAGTGATCGGCAAAGCACAGTAAGAGGTTTCCACTGTATCCAGTAAGAAACTGGAAAAGTGCATGCTAACTTCTTGTAACTCACTGTTATTTTTTTAAATAATTGATAGATTAACTGGTATCAGGAGAAATAATCGAAAAGCTTTTCGACAGTTCAGTAGTGAAGCGGTAAATCGGTTTAAGGATATCTAAGTACTTTGGCTATTTTTTCTCCAGTGAAATGCTTTTCTACTTTTGTAGTCGAACATTAGAGCTTTCATTTGAATCCCATTTAACCCTAAGTTTCTGGACATTTTACAATGATTTTATTATTTAAACTTTGGAGGACTAAATTTGAATCTCGATATTGAACTGTTATAAAACATTCTAAAAATCTGGAAAAAAATTAGAAAGTTTACTTTTGCAGGAAGATTGATGAAGTAATTAAAAAATAGCAATTTTTAAACATTACGAGCTTTTTCTAGGAATAATTTATAAACACAAATTTATTCATATTCAGAATTTTACCAGAAATCGATTTCATACCGAAAAAAAATAAGATTTCCGAAACAATGTCAATGATTTATTTATAAACAATGAATATTTGACGAAATAATAATTCTGTGTAGAGTATAATTTGAGTGATGCTAAATATTCATGATTTGTTTCACATTTTTCTGACGCAATTTAATTGCCAAATTTGATGATTGAAAATGGTTAAATCTATAGTATGCGGTTTATATCAAACTGTAAAAGATGCTTGGATATCCTTAAGGAGAAATTCAACCCGGGAAAAAAACTTTTTGGTTTTTCGAGAAAAAACATTTGAAAATACTATTTTCCGCCGGTTTTTTCCTCAAAAATCTGAATTGGTAGGTCATAATTGTCTCCTGCCACTCAAAAGTAGAGAATCGAATTTTTTTGAAGCGAAAAATCAACGCAACAACAATCCCCAGAGCATTTTTTTCAAAATAGTTTTTTGAATATGATTTCAAATTCTCCCTCCTGAATTATGAAAAATGCGGGAGACGATGCATTTTTTAATTTATTCATTTATCAAAATTTTTCTTAATATCTGGAGAAAAAAATTTTTCATGCCCAAATATTTTGCATAAATTTCATTTATGATTACTAACTTGATGTTTAATGGTCCCCATGCATCTACCTACCCTTTTTACTCTATAGTTGAGAGGGCTCCTCTCAGGAATCTAGCCAGCGTATTTCCTCCCAAAAATTTGCATAGGTGCGTTTCTTCCGTACTGTTTCAATTTATTTTCCATTCTTTTGTAGAAATTCACTCATTCTAATTGATGCATATAACTTATTTTCGAAAATATAATCGATCCGTTGAAAATAATGACTTTTTTTCAGGTTGACTAATGGACTTCAAAATGTATCTTCTCCCGTATTTTTCATAATTAAAGAACGAGAATTTGTGATCATATTTAAAAAACTATTTCGAAAAAAAATCAAAAGTTGATTTTTCGATTAGAAAAAATTTGAATCTCTAATTTTTTAACGCGGAAATAACGCGCAAAATAGTGTTTTTGAAGTTTTTTTCTCGAAAAACGCAAAAGTTTTCTTCCGGGGGTAAACCTCCCCTTAAGTTAAAAAAAAAGATTTTTTCTTTGATGGCTAAAAAACTTACTGTAGTCGTTTTTGGAGTCGATTGGGATGAAAATCCCATTTTCCAAAAGAATGGCCTTAAATCGATTTAAAGTTTCGTCCCTGAATGCTTAAACTTCTTGACATTACTCTTCCAAATTGATTTTTTTTCAATACTCATCTAATTGTGCAAAAAAATCTTCAGATCAACATAGATTCTTCACACAATAAATGACTTATTTCTTAACAGGATGCAAAGAGAAATGCAAGAACGTTTAAACGACCTTGCCCTGAGCTTTCAGGAAGCCACAAATCTCCGAATGGCTGATGCAACTCAACGAGCAATCCGAGAGAACATAGCTCTTAACAGCGAGCTAGATGACACTTATAAAATTCGTCAAGAGCTTGAGGGGAAAATGCAGATCTGCAAAGAGACTGAACAGAATACAAGACTGCGAGCTTCATTACTTCACGAAGAATTGCAGATGGCTTTGAATAAGGTGTTCGAGCAAAATAAATTCATCGAAAAAATTGCAGAAGATCACTTGAATGCTGTGTTACTGCGGACTGAAGAACGAAGAATGGAGCAGTGTGCGAGTAGTAAGGATCAACTGCTGCAAACCATAACAGAAAAACAACTAACAGCAGACCAGGACGCTAGGAAGATCGAGAGAACTATCCTCGAGACTGGGAAGCAAACAAAAGATATTTTGGACGATGTCCAGGTCAATCGCATACAAATTGAACAATTGACCAATATTCTACATTCCGTGAAGAGCATTATAACGCAATTACCAGGAGAAATTGGAGATATTACTTCAACTCCTTGTGTCGCCTGCGATGGAAATTTTAAGAGAAAACTTTTAGAGATTTATAGTATTATAGAGAGCTCGAATATAGCGAAGATTATAAACGTTTGATTGTTGATTGTTTTTTTTCATGTTTTTCCCTTCCAAATGGAAGCCTTGTTTTTGACCGATTTTTCGATTTTCTAATTTTGATTGTAAATGGTCTAGAATGTTATAAAACGTGAAGAAATGATGTTTTTAGGGTCATGTCTGTATGTATGTATCTAACAATTTGGGTTTTTGGTGATTAATTTTCAGAAAATTCACCATAAATACCGTGAAATTTTAAAATGAAAATCTAAACTTTTGGCTCATTATAGCTATTATTGAGCTCAACTTTGGCGCGCTGTTTCAGCCCGATCGGTCCAGTAGTTCCTGAAATATAAAAACTTGTTTAAATTTCTTTTTTCCTCAATATCTCAAAAACTACTGCACTGATTTCAAATGTTTTGTTCTAAATACTCGTCTCGATGGCCTCTATGTAAGTCAATCAAAATATATACTCTTTAATACACAGTTTGGAAATAATTCCGTTTTTTCATTTCTTAAATTTTTTCATTCTTGTACGCACAATATTTTGAGAAAAAATGGAAACAAACAAGTTGAAATTTGGTATCATTACAGCTCTTACAATATTGAAGGTCGGTATTCTAAATGGGCTCAACCGGCCGAGCTGTTTCGAATATATTTACTCGTTTGTATAAATCTATTTCATTAAAAGATTGAATATCTTTCTGTAGACACCCTGCAGTATGTGGTTACGGTTGTACGCCTGCCATAAGGATAATGAATTGCTATGAATCCATTCAAAAGCTTACTACCAATGGAATTGGTAGAAAAAAAAATAGATCAATAACACAAAACGTAGCACTCACATGCTTTCTGGTGGATAGGCTCGTACTCCTGCTTGTTGTTGCTTCCGAATGGAAGCCTTGTTTCGCTGTTTAATTTGCGTTCTCAAATACTGAAACGTGATGTGGACCCTATTATTTTGACAATTCTGATATTATCAGAATTATTCTTAGTATATATTATTATATATGCTAAGAATAAGTGACTCAAAGAAGGTTCCTCAGAATTTAGAAGCTTATCACCTTGATACAGATTTAAATTTTTTATGACGGAGGAATTGGATTGAGAGATGGAAGATGACTAATCTAACTGACTTGCAGAAAGGTTTAGGTCGAATTTAAATTTGAAGTGGATTTATGACATGAGAAAGAAAACCTAGACGTAAATTACGTTTAAGAAGTCGCCTTTTATGCTTTCTGTAACGTATTTTCCGCGTGAAGTTGAAACCTAAATTCCGCTACGAATCACCGTAAATTACGATTACATAAACGTAATTTACGATTTCGTATTCGTACGTGACGATGATTTGTCCCGTATTCTATTTTTACTTATGCGTAATTAACGATGCAGAAAAAAGTTATTTCAAGCATAAAATACGTTTTTTAAGTAAATTACGCATAAGTAAATCGTAAAATACGTTTCTATTAAGACTGTAATTTACAATTTTTTAAGCGTGAAATACGTTTAGTGAAACGTAAAAAACACTTTGTCTGGGCGTAATTAACTTCCCGATAAGGAAAGCCATTAACGTTTTTATTTTAAGTGTTAAATACGACTTTTTGAAACCTAAATGCCGATTTTCATGACGGAAAAAAATCCATCAAATATCATATTGACGGCAATCGCAAATTACGTTTAGCAAACCATAAATTATACTTAGCAAAACGTAATTTACATTTAGATTTTTCTACATGCAGACCAATTGCTGAACAGTGGTTGGAAGCTGGACGATCCCAGATTTCATTAAGTAGTCTATAAAGTATATGACGAAAATTGTAGCGATTATTCAAATTTTCAATAATAAAATTCATGTATAATCATGCGGTATTTTTTTCCCTGAAATATCAATACTTCAATAGTATATTTCGTCATTAACAATATTTTTTGTCATAACGGCCGTAGGCAGAGATTCACGGACGCGGAGCGAAGCGGAACGCTGCCTTACGGCCGGAATGACAAAATAGTATATTTCGTCATTAGGCCGAAAAAAACGTTTCTGGCGAATATGAGGTTTGCAACACGAGCCGAAGGCGAGGGCTGCAATCATATTCGTCAGGAAAGTTTTTTTGGGTCGTATGACGAACAATATTTTTTATATATACAAAATACATATACACAAAAAGACTATTATGATTTTTAAAAGTCACGAGCCATTGAAGTAAGATTTTTCTCATTCGAACACTTTGGTAATCGGTCTCCAACTTAACTCCAAGTTGAAGATCGAGTATATATGTCTGAAAATAATTAGTGCAAAAAAAAATTTTAACTTCCCGACCCGAAGGGAGGAAGTTATTGTAATGACCCCGAAAATCGAATGTGGAAATTTAAGCATTTCTCCACGTTTCATGACCTTTGGAACCACTTCTGACCCTTTTCAGGTACCTGTCTGTATGTGTGGATGTGTGTATGTGTGTGCGTACGTCTGTGACAAAAATTTTGTGCCACGATTCCTCCTGAACAAACGATACGATTTGACTTTTTTTTTTTTAATCGCTGTATTTTCATGTGACTTGAACCTGATTAGATTATGGAGACGATCGTCTCAGCGTTTCTCCAGTTTTTTCCAAAAAACATTTGGAAAAAAGTCGAAAATTAGCGTTTTTTTGTAAACGAGACCATTTCTCCGTGCATAACGATGCGATTTCAAGTTTTTTTTGTTAGAAACGATGAATCTTGATATAACGCACAAATCATGGAATACTGGAAGACATTTAATCAGCAGTTCACTAGCTTTTTTCGAAATCGATATACATTCAAGAAACAATTTTACTTTTCTGATAAATTACATCTTTTCTCGATGCGGAATACGGCGATGTGTGTGTATGGGAGTGTGTGTGAGTGCGAGCACGCGCACGGATTTTCTTGGGTCACCACAAAACTATTTGATTTGATTTTTTTTTGCAATCGATTCATTCTCATGGAACCTGACCTTCATTATTACATTATGCAAACATTTGTTTCGGCGTTTTTTACGTTTTTGATGAAAAAAACTTGTAAGAGACCGTTGATTTCTCGTTCGTTTGCCCCGAAGACGCTTAAAATATTGAAAATAATCCGAGGCCTCTAAATTTTGAACTGCAAATTTTTTTTTTATTTTTGAAAAAATATGGCGAATTACAATTACGAGTTTTTTGTGAAATTCAATTCTTACACAGCTAATTTCGTTTATTTTATATAAACCCTATGACGTGTTAATTATGATTAAATGATCAGAAGAATGACTAATTTTGAAGAAAAATAATGAAATAATGGAAATCTTAACCGACCGTAATAGTTGGGTTAGTTGGGTGTTGCCCTGGCGGACATCTGAGTGCCGCTGCATTTAGCCAAAAAAATTCGGAACATAGGCACGGTGTAGTGGCCTAATGTGACCCTCTAGTCAGTGTGACAGAAGGGCACATTAGGGCTCTGCACAATCGACCGGCTGTACGACTGGGGTTTTCCATGGTTTCCCGTACAGTTCTAGCCCGAATGGGGTGCAGTTGATAAGAGTAAGACGACCCATGGTAAATGCAGATAAAATATGAAGGGAAGCGTGGGAGAGGCAGGCAGGCGAAAAAGGCGGAAAAAAAACTTGGATTGAGTATAAAATAAACTTGAATCAAGTATATTATATACTTGATTCAACAATAATAATGTACTAATATAAAATAATCAAATAATCATACGTATAAGTATATAATATACTTGATTCAAATATATTTTTTTCCGTGTATATAAAACCGTAACGGTAGTAGGAAGGAAATGAATAAATAAATAAATAAATAAATAATGAAAGACCTTTTCTAAACATGATTGCACCTTTCTCATTGTGAAAATTAAAAGTCGTTTGAAAATTCCAATCGAAGAATATCATGACGCTGATTGGATATTCGGTTGTGGATTGTTTCTTCTTCCATATTTTTTTACGAACAATTAATTAATCTTGTAACTTTCTTTAAATATTTTTTTTACAAATTCATGTAATAATGGAGTTGGATGACGAAGCTGAAGAAGAAAAGATATATCCGAGTTATTTGCAGAAGGAATTATATGAAATTCAAATAAAGGATATAGGAAATCGCATAGACAGGTTATTAAAAATATTTTCCAATTCTACTGCTTTTGTTCTTTGTGCATTCCTCATAGTTGACGAGAGAAAATCGGCTCCTTACTTTTTCTAAAAATTTCCTTTCTTGATAATGCGTTTTCCCACAGAGCTTGACAATATTTGTAATAATCGGCAATAAGCAGCATTAAGTTTCAATAAATACGTTCTTCGTTTTCGTAGATTAGATGACAGAAATTATGACCTGTTGGATATATGTGAGGAGATTAAGCATGACATTGGGTCTACAGACATTAAAACATCTGATCAGATTGCTGCTATTAATCGAGAACTATTTGTTGAGTTATCGAAAATAAATAATCGGAAGAGCGAAATCAAATCTATTGAAGACCAGCGAGTTGAGAACAAAGAAAAACACGAGAGTAAAGTCGATGAATTGAATGAAAAGTATGAAGTGACTTTTCGAGCGCTGATCTCGAAGATTAAAACCTTGAGTAACTTTACCATTTGAATTCAGCAGCTATATAAACTGGATAAAATCATTTCAGTCCGAAATATAATCCTTGGTAATTATGAAAATATTTTCGCAATGAGTAGATTTATAACAGCATACTGTTGAAATTACTCATTAGTAAGGTAATTCCATAATTGCTTCCTTCAGAGGTAACGGAAAGAATATGAGGTATTCTATGCCAAATGAGTCAACAGCTGACCCTCACCCCTCTGGAAATTGATCTCGATTTTTCCTACGATTGGGGCGCTAGAAAAATTATCTCTCAATTTTTTTCAGATTTTTTCGACAGTCCATTTCGAAGATGATTTTTTGTTTGTTTTTTCATATTTTTTCAACAACTCGGGTTCAATTCAGCCGATTTTAATTTATGACGGCTCAAAATTTTTTATTTTCTACCATCTATAAGAAGATTCTGTTTTTTTTTCAATCCATAGGTGCTCATCATATCAAACTTTCAAAATCTTTTTTTTTTCAGTAACTTTCACAATCAAAACAAATTTTTTGACTTGGAATTTTTGCGAATTTGGTCAAAACACCCTAAATAAGAGTTACTGAAAAAAAGATGAGAGAAATAAAACGTAACGTAATTTTAAAAATTCAAGTTTTTCATCTTTTTTTTTGAAAATTCGGTATTGCAACTCTCTTGACTAGGAGTTGAAAAAAAAAAAATTGAAAACATTCTTATAGATGATAGGAAATCGAAAATTTTGACGTGTCATAAATTAAAATCAGATGAATAGAACTGGAGTGATCGACAAAAAAACTAAAAAATAAAGAACACAATCATATCTCCGAAATGGGCTGTTTAAAAGATCTGAAAAAATTGGGAAATAGTTTGTCAACTGCCCCAATCGTATAAAAAATCGAGATCTATTTCCAAGAGGATGGGGGTCAGCCGTTGACTCATTTGACATGGAATACCTCATATACAAGAATTCTTCATGTTTATGAGCATGAAAAATTAACTTTGGACTGAACCAATGTTTGTGTTTTTCAAGTCATTAGATTGGGAGAACTCGATAATGGGAATGAGTCTATACACTGAGAGAAAAAATTCGTTTGACAAAGATAATTTCCTTGATATAAGAAAATATCCTCTTGTCAATTTCTAGAATCGTGAAATCCCCTGGTAAATAATTGTGTGCTCATGCTGAGAGAAAGAAGTTTTTCAAAAGGATGAGATTCTCTTGCTCCCAGAAAATTGTCAAGTGTTGGCATAAGTCTTCCCATAAATTCATATAGTTTACATAGAATTTAATAGATTATGAAAATTCACGCTTTGCCCATTTGATCACTCATCTTCAACTGAGGACTTCTTATTTTGATTGCACGACCAACAATTTCATTATCAATTCACGTATATAGAAAATTGATCTCAAGTCTTGTGCTCTTTGTGCAAGATTTTATGTAATCTTATCCTGATGATAAAAAAATTCCAGATATTATACAAACTACATGAATTTATAGGAAGGACATAATTTCTAGTTTTGAAAGCGCTTAAAAATTCTCTTGGGACCAGAGAATCTCAACCTGTTGGAAAATTTTTCCTCTCAGTCTAAGAACAAAATTATTTATCAAGAGATTCCATGATTCTTAAAATTTACAAAAGAATATGTTCTTTTATCAAGTAAACCTTTTTTGTCAAAAGTCGTTTTTTCTCTCAGTGTACCTTGGCATCTTTTTGTAATGGATTTTTGCTATTTTAGGCTTTATATCTTTTTATATGATGATAAAATGATTGATCGGTCCAGATGCTAAGGTCAATGCTTTAGAAGACTACAAGAATAAAAGAGACAATCTTCGTGAAAAACTCAAAGTTCGCGATGAATTTATTGTGAAACAAGAAGAAGAAGTGAAACAAAAATTACAGAAGATAAAGATTCAGTACAAAATTGACAGAGCAGCGTGAGTAGTATTTGACTTAAGGAAAGAAATGTGAATAATTGCATTATTCAATCGCTTTTTAGATTGCTCGATGATTTACAAAGCCAAATATTCCAACGAGGAATAGCCTACGAAGCCGAGAACTCTAGAAGAACGAGTCCCCTTACTCGATGCTTATTCAATAATAATATATTCATAAAGAACGAGATCCACGCGATGTATCAAGAAATAAATCACGAAGCAGAACTTTGTGGCGAGAAAGAGTAAGAAATGTGGAAGGAGTATACGTACATTATTTTAGGAAATATATGGAAAATGCTGAGGTTTATCAGAATTGATCATGAGACCTTTTTTAGGATCAACTCAGTTTTTACCGGGAACGTAGTTTTTGCATAGACAAATAAATTTTCTAGTTTTCAGTAAAAATCTCTGAATTTCAGACCTTTGTAATGCTGAAATCTAGGAAGTAATAAATCCTGGAAATGAGAGATTTTTACTTTCATTTAAAGGACGTTCTCCTAAAAAATCAAAGAAAAAATTTTAATTTCAATTCCTTTTACTTAAACCTAATATAATTGTACTTGAATCGAGGCACATTTTCTCTTATTTTGAGAAAATCTTGGTTCTGAAATTTAGAACTTTGGGGTTCTTCCATCAAAGATATTGATTTTTGGGCACAATTTTTCTTTAAAACAGGTTGTTGGATCCAAAATGAAAAATGTTGGCGTTTTTGAATTGATTTTTCCTGTTTTTAAATTAATTTAGCCATGTTCACAACTCGTTTGTTTTTTCAAAGTATATTAGCTGGTACCTTGACTCAATGAATGTTACATTAATATTTAATTACTCTAGAACTGAAATCCTTCGAATGTTTTTAGTTTAAGAACGCCAAGGTTGTTAATTGAAGAACTTTTCTCACTTAAAATATGTAGTTTATTGGAACTGAATTTTAAATATTTTTCATTTAAAATGAAGTAACCACCCTCGTCTTCTCACTGAGAATTTTTCTAGAATCATGGGTTTCTTAAAGTCAGTTTCTTAAAGTCAGTCGTTTCTACATTTTCCTTGGACGATACCGCGCGTTTCGATTCACAAAGTAATCTAGCGTATCATTCTGAAGTGATGATGTCCTACCACTTTATCACTGTATCATGTATAATATCTCGATTGATTTTCAGTGGAAATTTCAATTTTCCAGTCGTACGAAATCTTTCAATCAAGCCTGGGCTCGAAACAGTCAGTTAGATTTGATCAAGGCTCTGGAAACGTTACGCTTTCAAAAAGTGCTGAGCAAACATTTACACAAAGAATGTGAAAAACCTCGCATGGACAAAAATGACACTACAACATTAGATCATGAACAACCGGACAACGATTGTCTCATAGAAATTCGGAAATCAGAAGCCTTGATTAGTGAACAAAATTTGGCCAAAATGCAAACGTCATTGCACCAGAGGAATGTCAAATTATTTTCAGCAAAAAATCAACGGAAACAGACTTCAAGAAAAGTTAATTCTATTGTTGAGACTCTGTTTGATTTGAAGTATGCAATTGCTTGTGCTTTAGAATTACCTGTTATCCATGATTTTGGAATTGGAAAGTTGTCGCAAAACTTTGCTAGAATGTCTAAAAATGAATTTGTATCTTACTTATTGTCGGTAGTAGAAAAAAAGAAATAATGTTTCTACACCTTGTACAATCGTGTGTTATCGGAAACTAAATTTTTTTCACATTTTTTAATTTATAATTTTTACAAATTTTCAATTGTAAGATTTTTCTCTAATTCGAGAGGTGTAATTGCTTCTGCTCTAGGATTTTCAATCATTTGTGACTTGGAATTTGAAAATGGGAAAAACATTCAGAAATATTGAAAAGTTGTTTTCAATTATTCATTCATCTTGCAATGAACTAAATATAAAATGGATGAAGAATGTTACCTTATTCTTTCTTCTGCCATTCTCAAAATCTCGATTATAGTATTTCCTTTAAAACATTGTATTTAAAGTGAATATTTTTATACATTTTCCTATTTCATACCAAGACAAAGTTTATTTTGAATTACTAGGTACCGTAATTTTGTGATCAGGCTTAATAAACTTCTTGACCTTCGGCTTGTTGCGTTTCCTGGAAAAGAAAACAGAGTAATTTCAGTTGAAAATTCTTCCTTTCAGCAGAACATTCTAGAGAATTAGTAGCAAAATGCTAAATCACACTTTTATCAATTATGGTATTATGTCAAGAATCAGCGATTTTGAAAAACAAGTCAAGAGACTTTTGTTAAATTTGGCAAAATGATGCATAACAATTGCACAACAAGAAATCTCAAATTTCTAATGGTCAAGATAATTGCACAACTCTATCTTGTTCCTTAAGTATCTTTTACAGTTTGGTATTGACCGCACTATAGATTCAATCATTTTCAATCATCAAATTTGTCAATTCAACTGCGTGAGAAAAATTTGAAAAAATCATGAATATGCAGTTGTTCAAATTACATTTTGCACAGAATTATGATTTTTTTAAAATATTCGTTGTTTATAAATGAATAATTGCAATTGTTTAAACTTTCGGAAACCTCATTTTTTTAGGCATGAAATCGATTTTTGGTGAAATTCTGAAAATGAATAAATTTTTTACGATTCCAAACAAATGATTTTTATGGTAGAAAGTTGATTGTTTATAAATTCAGTAGTGAAGCGTTAAAACGGTTCAAGTCGACTTAGCTCTCAGCTAAGTTTTTGAGGAATATCTCCAAATCTAAGGGAGATAACGAAATTTTCGCAATTACATTTTTTGTAGCTCTTAATTCGCTCTACAATAAAAGTGATGACAGAGATTTTGTTATCTGCCTTAGATTCCGAGATATGAAAACTGACCAATAGTCAAAATCGACTTGAACCGTTTTACCGCTTCTCTGTTGAATTATTTACAGAAAATGCTCGTAATTTAAAAAAAATTACAATTTTAAATTATTCCATCAATCTTCCTCTAAAAGTAAACTTTCTAATTGTTTTTCAAATTTTGAAAATATTTGTTGCAACGGTTTAAAATCGAGATTCAAATTCAGACATGCAAAATTTAAATAACAAAATCATTGCAAAATATTCGGAAAGTTATGATGAACTCTGAACTCTGATGTTCAATTGCAAGACTAGAAAACCACTTCACTGGAGAAAATATAGCCAAAATACTTGGATATCCTTAAACTCTGAGGAAATGAATAATAATACTCACAGAACCAACTTGGCAGGCGCCAAGATATTTCTCTGCTGCATCGACTTGAACCTTTCCTTCAGCAGATTACCCACAGGTTCTGACCCCCTCAAGTTACCAGTGAGCTCGAGTCCCAGCTTGAACGCCTCCTCAGCAGGCTCAAACTTGGTTCTACTCAGCACCTTGGGCTCCTTTGCCTTCCTCGCCTCCGCCTTTTTCCTCATTTCCCTCAAAACCTGATTTTTCCTCTCTTGCCCCTGAATATTCTTCTCAATCGATTTCAGCTTATACATATCCCCAATTTTCTTCTTCTCAACCTTTTTCGCCTTCAACTCCAGAGCCAGTTTTCTCTGCTCCTTCTGCTTCCTCCTCTGCACCCTCGTCTTCTTCACGTTCTTCACTGGTAACTTGGCAGGTTTAACGTCAACATCCTCATCGTCCTCAGGTTCAGATTTGGCTTCTACGTCCTGAGGCAGTGGCAGACCCTCAGACGCATCCTTCAGCCAATTTTCATCCTTCTCCTTCTGAGAAACCTTGTTGAACATTTTAGTTGTAACTCTCTCAAGATGTGCCTCTTCCTTCATCAATTTCAACTCTTTATCAGCAATTTCTCGAAGGAGAGACTGATGATCATTATAAGATGGATTGTAAGACGTTCCTGGATGTGGAACCTCAATGCTCGGTACTTCGGACTGTTTCCTGTGCACTGCCAATGGAACACGCCTCTTGCCAATCCCCTCGGCGATCAAAGTGTGACGAACAGCATCCGCGGTCAACCACTGAGTGTCGATCTCTCCAAGAACTTTCTTCTTAGGTTCATCATCCCAAATGTCTTCTTTGAACTCATCCCTTTTTGGACGATTTTTACGTTTTATTTCTGCGAGTTTCCGGTTCTTCACAGCGAGTCTTTCTGTTAAGGTTAATTTCCCACTGAGTTTTCTCAATTGTTCAAATTTCTTAGTGATTGGATTCTTGCGTTCCTCTGGTGTTTTAACTCGATTACGCTTTGAAATTGGATCTGGAACTGCTGTATGCGGTTTCAGAGCTGCGTAACACTTGGGTTCACTATTTCTCAATGCCTCTCTGTACGCTGCTTTTGTGTCGATGACAGTCTTTAGGTCTTCGTTTGGGGTGGAGTCGATGAGGAATAAATCTGTGTCGGCTCGCTTTTTGAAGGGTGTTCCTAACCGCTCTTCTAGCCTAGAATCGTCGAGGAAGGAGTCCACGTCCTTTGTATCCACGTGTTTACGCCAAGATTTCTTGGTTTTCTTCGACACTCTCTTGCGTTTTTTTATTACGTCGGTCATATTAGGGAACAGTTGTTTTGTGGGGATGGCTGATTGATTATTCTATTTTATTTGTAAATATGGAAGCACAGAACACTACTTGACACGTGTTTTTAGAGCGTATGTTCGTAGGTTATGTTTGTTTGTATGTTCGATGTGACCAATGGCGACCAATGGTGACGGAGGAGACCGGGGAAACTGACAACCAACTGCACGGATGGTAATGGGGGGATCTGTTGTATCGCATGGGTAGAATTGTAAACAAATACAATGGGGTGAGATTTAAATTGCATTGGATTGCATGTTTCCACTAGTAGAGCTGCGGGACACCCCCGAAAAAGCGCTTCTAAATTGACCGACCGACCACTCGTGTTCTAATACGTAATGCTTTTTTAAAACAATGAAATATGATCATGGAACGTCAAGTAAACAATTTCAAGTAATAATCAAGTAATAAATTCTCATATTTAAATGCCGATAAACCTTTGGTGGGATTTATTATTCTCAAGCCTAGAACCTACTATAATTATAAGTACCCCCACGCTGGGTACGACATTTTGGTTTCTGTCAGCAATTGGTCAACTAGTGCATTTTTTTCTGAAAAATGTTGTTTTGGCTAAATCGCTTCCACAAATTGATGAGAAGCGATTTAACCGAAAAAACGCATTTTCGAAAAAAATGCACATATCGTTGATTACCAATTCACCACAGGTTTGATACACACAGAAAAACTTAAACGCAAATTCCGTTTGAGAAGTCGTCTTTTACGCTTTCTGAATCGTATTTTACGCTTGAATTTGAAGCGTAAATTACTGTTACATAAACATAATTTACAATTTCGTAGTTGTAAATTACGGTTAAATAAAGGTAATTTATGGTTTCTCATCCGTAAATTACGAGTTTTTTGTCCATATTTTACGTTTACTTAACACTGAGAGAAATTGCAATGGTAATTTCAACTACGAGGGAATTGTCAAAGAAATTATATTTACAGTAACAATAAACTTTGTAGATTAAACTAGGATTCATCGTTCGATTTACTACGTCAAATAGTGTCATCAACATTATGATGTAATTTTCACTTTAATGTAATAGTTGAATCTACAATGTTTATTGTTACCATAACTATTATTTTTTTGACAATTCCCTTGTAGTTGAAATTACCATTGAAATTTCTCTCATTATCAGTGAACGATAATTAACGACGAATTTTCGATCACATTACGACTTAGAATTCTTAGGACGAATAAGGATGGTCAGAATGTTAGTCATAAAATGAGGAACAGTATATAAGGGTCAAAACGGAAGAATCAGAATCTAAGGATCAACAATTGAGAGTCAGACAGTGAGGGTCAGAAAATGAGGGTTACAGAAAAAAGATCAGGCAATAGAGGCTCAGAATATAAGTTTTAAAAAATGAAGTTCAGAAAAGAAGATATAATTGCCTTATCGCCTGCCCCTCAGATCCTCTCACTCTTTCATCTTTACATCCTGATCCTCCCTTTTTGGCTCCCATTGCCTGGGCCTTACTTTTTCATATTTTCGCCTTCTTTTTTGAACCTGATATCCTTAAAATGAATCATACTTTTAATTGAGAAAATACGAGGTTTTTTTTCTTAAATTACGCATAAGTAAATCGTAAAAGACGTTTCTATTAAGATCGTAATTTACGATTTCTTAAGCGTGAAATACGTTTAGTGAAACGTAAAAGACGCTTTGTTTGGGGGTAATTAACTTTTTTATTTTAACTGTAAAATGCGCCTTTTCGTCACCTCAACTCCGATTTTCATGACGGAAAAAAGGTTTAGCAAAACGTAAAGTGTGTGTAGCAGAATATAATTTACATTTATCTTTTTCTGGGTGCACTTTTCTCTCGCTTAATACGGAGTAAAGTAGGAACTTCCCGTGGAAGTATGCGGGAAAAACATCACCGAAGCAGTCACCAAGTCACATTTCCCTGTATACACCGACAAAAAGAAAGGTTTTTGAGAAATACGTCTTTATTTATATCTAGAAACTTCTGACTTGAAAATTTTCAAGAGTAAAATATCTTGCACTAAGAAAATAAAAACTTTCGTCAAGTAATTTTGTACTTATCCTAAAGACGGGGGCAATTTCTTGATGACAAGAAAGCGACTTCTCAAACCAAGTAAAATTGAATTAATTCATGTAATAGTTTTTTAGCCTCAATTCTAAAATATTTCAATACAAAAACCACTTTAATTGATTTGAGAATTCATTTTTTTCATATGAATAAATTGTCCTCACCTTTCGGACACGTATAAAATTTCTTGGCGTAAGATTTTTTTTCTTAGTGTGAGATATTGTGCGCTTGATAATTTTCAAACCACGAATTTCTTGATACAAGTAAAGTACTTCTCAAAAAAAAACTTGTTTTCCCAGTGTATAACGAAATAGTTTATTTTTCGTTAGCCAGCTGAACACTCGCACTGTTAGTAAAAATCGAGTTCATGGACAGTTCAAAAGTAATTTCCAAATGAACGACATTGAATTCGAATTGACGAAAGAGGGGGAAGGGGGAGAATTACGAAATTTTTAATTTCACTGAAAGTTCCATGGTGAGAATTCCAAATTTTTGTGCAGCAGGAAGACGTGAATTCACCAACTCATTCTATAATTTCTAACCAAACCATAAATATCCAATGCGTAGAATTTCTTTAATTTCTATTAATTTTCATGAAGTAACTGAACTAAAATTTACAGCTTCATTTATTACAGTTCTTACGTAAAATTGTGAATTTTCAATAACGAACATCCTTCAAATTTCAGTGGAACTGTAACTTGATAACAATTTCAAATGAATCCGAAAATTGATTGTGGAAATTTTATGATTTCTCCACGTTTCCTGACACGTTTTTAGAGACCGCTCTGCATGTATGGATGTATGTGTGTGTATGTAACCAAAATTTTGCGCTAGATTTCTCTGTAACAAGCGATGCGACTGAATTTTTTTTCGCGCAATCGATGTGCTTTCATGTAACTTAAAACTGATTTGATTCTGAACAACATCGCCTTAGCGGTTTCGGAGTAATTCAAATATGATTTCTTGAAATTTGAAACTTTTCAAAGTTTTTTCAATATAAGTTTATTTTTTCATTCTTATTTTTTTTCATTTTATTCTTCTGCTTTTTTTATTAAGAAAATCAAACGAAAAAACTCATAAAATTTGAGCGAAGGAAATTCAATGGAAAATTAATAAAAGGCAATTGTTCGTTATTAGAAGTTACTGGTTCGACTCGTAATGGGCACACCCAGTTCAACCCACCTACAATAGGACCGAGCGAAGCGACGACCAACAACCCATCAGTCGAATTTTTTTCATATAGAAGTTATCTCTTTCATATTGATAAAAATTTCAATCAGTAGGTATTAGCATGAGTTTGTACCCTAATAGGAGATAAGGAATGGACCAAGACTGGCCCAATGTTGGCCAGGCCACCAACCGGGACATTGTCGGCCTACCCTTATCTTTTTCTAATCTCCTACCAAGGTATTCCGCTTGAAGTTATAAAATAACCATTCTTCGTGCAAAAATGCCACTCCGCTACATGCATTGTAATGAAAAATAGCTTCCGATACTTGTAAGAAAGGCATTGACAAGTCCAACCCCACTTTTCCGCATTCATACCGGAATATACTGTTTACATTACCCTCTATTTTTATTTCTAGAGTCTTTTAGTAAGTGAATTATCAAGTCGAAAATAGATCCCATAAGAACCCGGGTAGAAGAAGAAATTGTTGATTATCTATGATCAATAGCACGCCGCAGGTTTTTCTCAATCACCAGAAACGTTGGTTTTATATGTTTCACCATCAATATAAAAAATCACATTATTTGCAAGAGCTTTATTGGGAAAACATCCTTAACCCTAGATTGGTCTCCCTATGAGGGTTTCCCCGCCTTTTTCCGTATTTTTTTACAAGTAAACGATAGCTTGGAAAATTCTGAAAAAATTCGACTTTGTCAATCGGAATGTCTAGAATCTAATAGTATTTTTATCACTTCTCTCAATTCAATAATTAGTCTTAGAGAGAATAATAATGGGAGAAAGAATCCGCAAAAGCAGAGGTCTCCTCACTACGTGACCAGAGTCGTTGGAGGTTTTCGTTGCGCGGCGTCGCCAGTCCCTCTCTAGTGCGGTCCGCCACTCCTTACGTACCTAGTCGGTACCGACTGAGAGACTCGGTAAGAACCAAGGGTTTGGCAACGTCGCAGCGCCGTTAACATTGCGGGGAATTCCTCACGACGTGATCAAGTCCCAGGGCCGAGTAAGGTGACCAGACTAGGGTTAAGTATATGGTCTTGTGCTTCCCGGGTTCGATAAAAGCTGTTGGTTAATACAGAAGAATTGAATTTGAATTATAATTCAGTTTACGTATTGATTAATATTCAAGTGCGCTAACACACGGAGAGGAATATTCAGTAAAAATTACGGAATTCACAACTCGCTCATCGATTACGGAATCGACTCAGAAAATTTGAGTGATGGTATCGTAATAGTTCACAGGAGATTCAGATAAAAATTACGGAACGCGCAGGAAAAATTCCGTGACAGTTCCGAAAAATTTCCTACAACCATATTTCGCTCCGGAATTACGGAAAAGATACGTAATTTTTATTGAATATTTCTATCCGTGCATGGAGCTCTGATTTTTTCTGTTCTATTTTGTGGGGGCTTGTTTCACTACTTATCTCCACGTATATCGAGGAACTACTCACTCCATAACTGAGTGACACCATGATTTCCAAATGAACTCGATTTTGGGTGATTTCAGTGATTTCGGAAAAAATGATTTCGGTGATTTCGAGCGTCACGGGACATGATTCCATGATTTCGAATGATTTCGTTAATGCGAACTTAGTGATTTCAGAGAAAAATAAGTCATTGAAATGACGATGAATAGAGTTAATAAATAATAGAGGTGGGGCAAAAAGGGTGGTGTGAAATTATGAAAATCAAAACTGGCAATAATAACGAATTCGTTTGATTCCATTCCGCCAATCTTGAGGTAATGACGATGAAAAGCGGTCCATTTTACCCCAGTCTCCACTGATAATGCACAAATAATAATCAATTTAGTCAAACATTAACTCATTTATTTAAAAATAATTTTCACTTCATCAAAAAATCTCTCAG